GGGGGGAAAAGAGGAGTGGGGGTGAGATTTTTTTGGGGGGGGAGGGGGGGGGAGAAGCCCTGTGTTTTGGGGCAAAAGCTTTAGAGTTGGTATTTTTCTTTACTTTGGGACCTGACTGAAGGTAGCCCCAGCTGTATAAAACCAGTCCTATTTGAGATAAACCCTGCTAGGGTTTGTAGGAGCTAGATTTCTGCCTCAATTTACAACAGGCTACATGAAAGGCACTAACGAAGTCAATGAAAACTAAAATTTCACACAGTGACTGATTTATACTGTTTCATAAATACGCGATACCAAAATGTAAGTACAATGTTTCTATTTCAACTGATTTATTTTAAACTGTGGAAAAAATAAGTAGGCAATGTTTCAGTACGAATGTGCTATGAAACATCTGTGTGGTTCTGTAAGCAAGTAGTTTTTAAGTGAGGTGAAACTTGGCGGGTACACAGGACAAACCAGGCTCCTGCAAAGGATACAAATGTTTTGAAAGGTTGAGAACCACACCTTAGAGGAGGGGAACCTTTTTTGCATGGGAGCTGCTGGCCCACGGTGGGGGGGGGAAATCAGTTGGGGGCTGCACACAAGCAAGAAGCAAAAAAACAAAACAAACCCCCTCCCTGACATGGCCCCCCAACTGAAAAGGGGAGTGACACTCCCCACATTCCCCTCGCACATGAGGGCCTGGATGGAGGAGGGCCAGCTTGGAGATTGTGTGCGCTCCATCCCCGTGGTGGGGCTGCAGAGGGAACCCAAGTGTGCAACATGGGCTCCCCAATGCTGAAGAGGGGGTCAGCCCTGATCCTTGGGGGCCGCATCCAGCCCCTGGCCCTGAGGTTCCCTAATCCTGCCCTACAGGATGCTTTCTGCCCCCCGCTCCCCCAATAATAAAGCCCATGCAAGAATTTTACATTTGATTTGGCTGCTAAGTTATGAAAATTAAGGAATTATTTAGGATCGTCTAGATGAGGATAGTCTGGAGCACCATATTAGCAAGAATTGTTAGCACCTAGCCTCCAACAGGCAATCCCTAAGTACCATCAGAAACAACTCTCAGTCTAGTGACTACAGTGCCAGGATAGCTCCCATCTACAGGGAAGCACTGCATGTCAAATACGTGAAGCGTTCAAAGGACTGTTCATATGGAGCCCTCTGTATCTAATGATTATTTTAATCTCTTATTAATGAGATAACTAAGAAATTAAGGAAAAAGTCAAACCTTAAAACTCAAACCCTATTGGAGATAAACCTCTGTCAAAATACCAACACAAAACCTCATTTCTATGTGGCAAATGAAAGGTATTAGATGCTACAATAGTTTATCCAACCCCTTGGACCATATGGTAGGCAACACTACCAAGGTCCCAAATGCCTGTTTCTTAACATCCAACTTCTGAATATCAAATCTAGGCTAGAAGCCCAGTGCTATGTATGTAATAAAAGTAGTTACCCTAGAAGAACATTTGTCAGAAGTGCAAAGCTAATTAAGGTGTGAAAAAGAGCTGGATGGTTCAGAATCAACATCTTGCTTCCAGTTTTACCTAGCATCTGATTGTACCATGACAAATTAGCAGCTCAGTTTATATTCATATGACTATTTTCACTGGAAATTTCTTGTGAAATTAATTTTTTTAAACTAAATGTTTCTAGAAATAGTTCTTAATGTAAGAATCCCAAGGCAAAGTAAAATTCAAGTTTAATTAGCAAGCCACCCAAGAAAGAGCAAACTTCAGTATATTGAGCACAAAGAATTATTTCATGCTAGCAGGCTGTTATCCAAAGTGACTGGAAAAATCTAGCTTGGAGTTGGGGGTAGATGGAGGAAGTGGTAGGATTATGCTGTTCCTTTCTGTTTCAAAAGCAATGCTAAAGTATTAAAACAAGTAGCATCCATGGACAGCAACAACAAACATGCCAGATTACAGTTTTGAATATTCTCTCTCCACTAATATTTCATACTCCTTTAAAACCAGATTAAAAAAAAAAAAGAGAGAGACCCTCCTCGAGACATTTATTAACTGCCAACTGATTTTACTACGAAAAATGCTCCAGAAATGCTGGCTCAGGATTTTGATCATTTTTTGTATCTATTTCCCCCAAAAGATAGCTAGCTCTAAAAAATACCCTTGAAACTTAAGTTTAAGTTTACCTGTGCACCCTGATATAGTACACTACAGTCAAAGAACTTACTGTACGATTTCTAAAACAGGAATGAGGTGTCAAACTGATCCCCCCCCCCAATACAGACGCTCTCACACACAAAAGAAATGAAAACCAACGACCACTCCCCCCAAAACATCTCACACCTACACTTTGGCAAAGGAGTCCGGTTCCTAAATTTATGGGACCATTTCTTTCTGCATCAAGCATGTACTGACTATGTCTGACTGAGCAGCATATGCAATTATTTCTAAAGCTTTGTCTCTGGCACAGATAACTAGGTGACTATTTAAGGATGAAGACTGAAAACAAACTCTGGCCTTTGCCCCTCCCTCCACAGACGAGTGTTATCTTACCTGAGAACTGCCGCTGAACCCTGGAGGCTGGCTGTACTCCGTAGAATCAATAATATTACTGTAAAACCAAGAGAAACAGAGCCCATTTAAATCACTATGCACTCATCCTTAATCATTTTCCACCTGCTTATTTTTCCTGTTACATCTAGCAGGAAGTTTGTGTTTGAAATTAATTTTGTAAGCATGAAACATAAGACTTCAAAAAACACAGGATGAGAGACTGGTATAGAGAAGAATGGGCAGAAGTCTTATGTCTACAAGAAGTCCTGTGGCACCTTATAGACTAACAGATGTATTGGAGCATAAGCTTTCTTGGGCAAAGACCCACTTCGACATGCATCTGATGAAGTGGGTCTTTGCCCACAAAAGCGCATGCTCCAATACATCTGTTAGTCTATAAGGTGCCACAGGACTCCTTGTCTCTTTTGCAGATCCAGACTAACACGGCTATCCCTCTGATACTTGTAAAATATGGTTAAGCACATTTCTATCAGAATATCATCAAGTCTGGTGTTACAAACACTGGAGGACAAACTCGACCTGTATCTCTAGGATGCAGTGTAAAGCTCACCTTCTATACACTTCGATTACAAAATAATTGTGTAGGATACCCCTTCCTTCCTAATGGGAGACACTGGTATTTCATAGCGTCCAAGGCAATGATGTGAAGGGAACAGACAAAAAGCTAGCTTAGAAAAATATAAGCGGCCCAGCCACCATAGCTTCTCTGTAACAGTCTCTGGAAGTGTCTGACGTGCCAAACAAAGAAATAAAAACAAACCAAACTTCCCCTACACCCCCCCATTAAAACATGCTTAGTACTTGAATTGTGAAGTCCCGACCTCTGTGTTCAAAGAGGTTCAGAACCAGAGCCAGACACATTCCAGCTGCATGCCATTTCCCAGCCTTGCATACATTTCATTTTGAGGTAAGACACTGAGCTGATCTCGCCTGCATTTTTTTCCAGGGGCCAGGAAATGAAAAAGCCCCTCTTCTGTAAGAATCGTGATTTATAGTTATCTCCCATTGTGCGGACCATCCACATGCATGGACTTAAGCCAAGATTTGCACAACAGTGTGCCTAACGCGAGGCACCTAAATAGGAGTTTGAATTTACATAGCCTGAGGAGCCAGCAGCTTCTACCGGCTTACACGGGAGCTACAAGGTGCTCACCACTTTTGCAAATCAGATCCTTTATTTAGCCAACTAAAGTATTTAGAACCCTACATTTGGGCATTCATGCTTGGAAAATCTTGCCCTTAACATTTTATTTCTCTAGGATACACAGATCCTTTCCCCTGTATCACTTAATAATCAGCCTTTATTTGCCCATGAAGTATTTAGAGTCCCACAGGAGAACACTATCAGGTTAAAGTTATGTACTCACCAAGCTATCTATTACAAAGGTCTACTGTAAAAAGTATTTTGAAAGCCTTGCTTTCCCCACTATTCTTGGCTTGTTTACTTTATTCCATTTGGCTTAAAACAGATTATTCAGTTTCGCTTTTCTTCTCATTTCCTCATCCACAATGCACATTAGATAGAAGCATTGTTCCCACTGAAGACATGGTGTGGGGGTTGGGGAAGGATGGAGAGGCAGATTGTTTTTGCAAGGTTATCGGAAATATTTTGATTGGTTGCCGTCTCGTAAAAAGTGATTTTGCACAGTTGTGTGTTTATGTTATGGCTGCCAGCGCTGATCAGTGACACTGATCTTCCAGTACGTGATGGGACTACCAGCATTGCATTAGGTGCTTTCCTACAATCTATACATCTAGAAAGCCAAAATACTTGCATTTGGGATCGAATACGTTACTCCAATACTCGTTTAAAAAAATCTACTAGAGGCAAATTTGTAGTTGGAGAGACTTAAAACTATTTTAACACATTTGTAGTTAACTTTTAAGCGAACTCCAACTGATGATGTTTTAACAGTTGCACACTCAAAATAGAAAAGCTACAGGAAAAAAAACACAACTAGCTTCTAGGAAAACAATTATTTTCTACTAGATCTTTGTGGAGGAAAACAGTAATAATGCTGCTTAAAGCACATTTAGGGACAATAAACTTTAATTGGGGTGGGAGGAAGGATGACAAAATAGTGAAATGCATTCATCAGTTCCTGCCCCAGAAAGCAGAAGTGAGCTGCGCAGCTGGAAACAATGAAAGATAAGCTGTTGCAAGAGGCAGGTACATATGCCATTAGCACAGCAAACAGTGTTTAGTCTTATTTTACTACAGATATGCTAGTAACAAAAAGCCATCTGGGTTCCAGAAGTGTAGACACAATTCTGCCAGCTACAGACTAACTGTGAGTCAGTTTTGTGTAATAACCCTATTTGAAATTTGCCTGCAGCTACTTGAATAATTGGAAAAACGAAAGATTACAAGAAACTTCAAGTCCTGTTTACAAAGACTTTAAATATTTGTGATTGGCTGCATCTAGACTAGCAAGTTTTTCCACAAAAGCAGCTGCTCTTGCGGAAAAAACTACCAGCTATCTACATTGGCTGCTTGAATTTGCGCAAGAACACTGACGATCTAATGTAAGATTGTCAGTGTTCTTGCACAAATACTATGCTGCTCCCACTCAGGAAAAAGCCCTCTTGCGCAAATGCTTTTGCGCAAGAGGGCCAGTGTAGACAGCTAAAAACTGTTTTGCGCAAAAAAGCCCCAATGGCGAAAATAGTGATCGGGGCTTTCTTGCGCAAAACCGTGTCTAAATTGGCATGGACACTTGTCCACAAAAAGTGCTTTTGTGCAAAAGCGTCCATGCCAATTGAGATGCTCTTTTCCGCAAATACTTTTAACGGAAAAAACTTTTCCGTTAAAAGCATTTGCGGAAAATCATGCCAGTCTAGACGTAGCCATTGAGTAATGAATTATAAAAAGCACCATGACATCTGGGAACAAAAATCGGTTTGTGGGTGGCAAAAGGAGCAAGTAAGAGAAAATTTTGGAGACCAAGAACTGAAGTCAATGGGCAAAAAAAGCTGGTTGAATAAAGTGAATCTTCGGATACCATGTGATTAATTTTATTGGGTGTCTGCCCCAGGAACTCATGGCGGAATGGTAATATTTTCTATTACTGCTTCAGAAACTGAAGCAAGAAAAGAAAATGTCTTAGTTATTCCTCCTCTGTATCATTCACCATCCAAAAAGACAGAGGATGGCTAGGTTTTTTTTATTTTGCTTGTTTTACATGGGGGAGGGTGAAAAGTGCAAGAAAAAAGTCTTGATTTCTTTTAAGAAGCAATACAAATTTTAAGAATACAAATTTAGCAAAGTTACAGCAGTGAGGTGGGGTTATTTTAAAGTTAGAGAGCATGGATGTTTAAAAAAAAAAAAAAAAAAAAGATGAAACACAAAACACATAGCCAAAAAGGGATAGTTGCTTATGAGAACTAGGAGTCAAATGTGGAAAATGGAGCAAAAAGGTTGAACTGGCCTTCAAACAGGGTCTGGACATATTTAAGCAGAAACAAATATGAAAAAGCAGAGCATTGGTGGAATGGACTGTTGAATCAAAAGTAAACATGTTAAAGGATAAATCAGACAAGGCACAAGACTAAAGGCTCTGAAGTTCAATGAGGGAGAATACTGTAAAGCTGAAGGCAAACAGATTAAAATAAACAGAGTAACAAGCAAAAGTGTTCTCTCTCTGCACTTAAAGTACTTTGATGCTATTTTATAAGATGCATCAGTTATGAATGATGCCCAGGTAAGTTATAAGACAATAGCAAGTATGCTAACAAGATATGCCCTGGTTTAAACCCACCATTTTAATTAATAGGAAAGTTGAAAATATCCCAATAGTTAAGTATTTTGAACATGGAAACTTATCGTTACGATACATGAAAATATAAAAGGTTCATCTCTAAAAAAAAAGTGCTAAGAAGAAATATTTCAGTTAAAACAGAACTAGAGGACTCAGCAAAATGTAAAGCCCCCATCAATGATTCCAGGAAAGATCTAGATCAGTTTTTGAACTGCTCACCAAAACATGTGTCTAATGCAGAAAGTCAAATTTCAAAGAGCAGGTAGTTTCTGGATTATAAACCCAAAGAATTCTCTGGGCATATGAAACCACATATAGGACGACTATGTGTCAAGAGATATAGACTCCAGAAATCATCCAAGCAAGTGACGTCTCTTAGGAACCTTCACATGCTGCTTCTCATTTTTAGCAGAGAAAGCAAGGAATAAGCCCTGATTTTGGAGGTGTCTCTGAGGAGTACGGAAGGGGACCTCTCTTGAAAACTTGGTGAGAGACTACACCATGCCTAAGTGCCTACTAGTCTTTTCTATCAGGTTCAGATTAAGTAAAGTTTCATTCAGGTCTCATGTTCTAGAGAACTGAGCAGCAGTAAGTGGATCTTGTTACTAAAGGAATGCTGGATCATAGTAGGACTAGTGTCACATTTCTAGAAACCAAGCCACCCAGTGGGCCTACAAAATACATATGTTTCTATATCAAAGATTAAAGTAAAACAATTATATCAAGGTATTTTGATCACTTGAGTAGTTTTGAGGGCAAGATCTTTAGTGGCAAAAGCACATGAATTCTACACAGATCTAAAAGAATGTCAGAAAAATATTGCTAGACAGGCGTACATTGGTTTCAGACACAGCAGATTTTAAAACAGTTTCTAACAAATTCTTGGGCCAGAAAATTACTATTACAGGTTCCCAGTGGTATAAAACAGTGCTTGAAAAATTTGTTAACGTACTTCATGTGACAGAACTAGACCAACTATTTCTGCAGAAGTAACGCTTCCATTTTAAGGAAGAGCTTCTAGCCCTTATGCTTAATAAGATAATGGTCCAAATGTGAAAAGTGTGAAATAGTGCAGCATCAACTTACTGAGCCTGAAACTCCCAGCTTTCCCAAGCATCAGAAGCATGAAATTAACAAAGACTGATCAGTTTCACTGCTGATATTCAGAATCCTGCCAGCACAAACTAATAACATGGCTATTTCATGTAGCCTTGCAGAAGCAATGACACACAGCAGAGAAGACAGATAGATCCTGGAGTTATTCTCTGATTTAAAATGTCCCAGAAGAGGAAAACTGGGAGAGAAATAAAGATTCAGACACATCATTAGCCCTGTTGTCCTCCAAACTTTAAGACATCTATTACATGATTATGAAAGTTTGAAGTTCTAGGGGTAACAACTGAGTACAAATATGAGCAGCCATTGGAAGGTCTCCTAACCAATTCATTGTCCCCTGAAACTCTCCAACGTAGTCCCCAAACACGTTTCACGTATACCTCTGGGTTATTAGGTTTAGTTCTCCAACTAGCAGACATATAGTGAAGTGGCAGTACCAAACAACAGCTGTGCTGGTAACCTCTGGTTTCAAGAGCCAAGACACGTGTCCCAAAAAAGGAAAACATATTATTCATTCAATATGCAAAAGATGACCTTAGGGACATCACAGCTTATTTCAGCTGAATGACTACAGGAAGGCACGCACAGTAAAATGCACTTTAAAACTGAATGGTGGATATGTGCAGCTTGGACACAAAAGGTTATTTACAATTTTATCTGTAATCCTGGGCACATAATATCTTAGACTGAAAAAAACAATCCATGAACACCACACTAGGGAAATGACATTTCAATCTAACCAAAGATAGCAGACAGATGGGAAGACCCAATCAGTTTGTTAAATTTAAAAATCTGACCATGGGAATAATATGAAAGGTTAAATTTGCATGAACAGGAAATCAAAGGTCAGTGACTTATTTAATGTGAAATTGGTTTGGATGCTGCTGCTGCCAACCACCACAAATTAAATACTTGATAAAAGCAGAGGTGTATTTTTAAACACTAATATTTTTTACTCAGCAACTCAGATGGTCTGCAGACGTACCTGTACAGCACTGAAAAACTGAAAGTTTTTCAAAGCATTCTGGCAAAGGAAGATCTTTAATCCAGCTGTGGATTCACAACCACAGCATGTCTTCACTAACTTATCGGCATGAAAAATAAATACCATGAAGAAAACAGATGGACTATATGAATTATTTTTATCTGAGCAAAAAAATAATTCTACTGGAGTTCTGCACATGGTATGGCTGAGAAGTAGAGCCATATGAGAGAGCTGCAACACAAATTTTGAGCAGCTGCAAGCTTTGTACCTGTTTGAAGGCGAGGGAGCTTCGAACTGAGGCACCGTACTATCCTCACTGACTGGGGAATATAACCCACTCATTTCCTGGAACAGAGAGTCAAGTTACAACAAAACAAAAAAGACATGCATGTAATGGACATTTTTCAAATAGTTAAAAAAGGTTTTTTTTTAAAAGTTACAAACTAACATAGTTACCCCTCTGAGGCTTTCAAATAGACAGCTTTGGGATATAAATTAACATTTGTAATAAGTAGCCAATGGCATCTATTCTTGCTTAACTCATAGTAAGGAATCTTTCCTCTGTCCATGTGTCAGTAACAGCCACACTCCCTAGAGGGGGCGGTCTCGCTCTGGGGTGTGCAGGGGTGGGGTGGGGTCAAAGGGCAAAAGAGTGTTGGCATAGGTTATAGGGGGTCAGAGATTAAAAGATCAAAGGGCATAGGGGGTCAAAGGGTGTTAGGTGCTGGGGAGCAAGAGGCAGGGTTGGACCTAGGGGCTATGAGGGGAGGGCTGGGAGTGAGGGAGGGTAGGGGTTAGAGGTCAAAGGGTAAGAGGGGTGGGTTGCAGTGGGTCAGTGGTTGTGGGGAGCCAGGTGTGGCGCAGCACAGCTCATGCTTCTGTCTCAGGGGCAGCAGATCTGAGGGTTTCTGAGCAAGCGGGGGCCTCAGAGCCTGTGGAACAGGCAGTTCCAGGGTCAGTGGGGCAGGATCAGGGTTTGGTACAACAGGCAGTCAGAGTTTGTGGAGCAAGGAGCACTGGGGGTAGCGAGGCAGGATCAGGGAGTGCTGGCAGGGAAATGGGAAGTTGTCAGTTTAAGTCAGGGGTCACTGGGACACTGTGTCAAGGTTGGTAGTGACAGCAGATACAGGACAGGCTCATGGTTGACAAAAGGAAGTTGGCAGCAGGGGGTGTTGGGAAGCAGGAGACAGTGGGCACTGGGGTGGCAAGCTTGGTAAGACAGACTTGTGAGGTTAGTGGGATATAGGGATACCAGATGATGGGTTTGGCAGGTTTAATAATACAGAGGGACAGAGTACCACGGTTAGCTGGACGGGATCAGAAGATTCTAGGGTTAAAGGTAGAGAGATGTGCAGTGACAAGATGGGGTGAGTGGGCTGGTGGACAGGTAACATTTTATTTACATATTTGCATATTCATTAGCTGCATGGTGAATATGCAAATAGAGCATTTCCAGTCCGCCAAAAGTTTGTGAATGGGTTTGCCGGTGAGGGACATGAAAAAGATTGGGAACTGCTGCCTTGAAGCACAAATTCTCCACGCCCAGATTTGAGCACTGGACAGGACAGAGCTGATATAAGTCCAGGGAGCCATCGAGAGAATGAACAGGAATAGAGGTGGCAGGTTTCAAAATACTTGGGAAACACACCCTTCGCCCACTGAGCACTCTATGCAGATTTAAAAACCACCACAGAGAAATGAGAAGAAAGCACTGTGGCTTCCCTCCTATCCACCAGGGGGTTCTACTTCTCCTCCATCCCCCACCCCACCGATACACTGCTCTAACTTGGGATGCTTCAAGGCTCGCTGCTACAGTAGTCAATACTTGTATCAATACAATAGTTTCCAATGTTAAGTTGTTAGGCTGACGTTCTAAACAGAAAAAAGTTTGGAAAAAATAAAGTGAGCGGTAGATATGGACAGATCCCTTTCACCAAGCTGCAGCTGCATGCAGTTAATAAATGAATGCACTGAGGAAAGAGCATCCTCCGTTCATTTTTGCATTACTGAAGCAATGCCCACACATTTCATGCAGCACCATGCAGAGAAGCAAACAGTTTGACGGAAATGAAACCCGCCAGAGTTGCAGCAAATGTCTGGGCTCCTCACCTCAACTCGTTTAATATCCTCTTCCAGCACACTTAGCTCTTTTTGGATCTGCTCCAGTTGCTGTGGATGGAAGGATAAAGGAAATCTAAGCCAATTTGTACTGGCACAACGAGACACATCAAGCAATGGATTTAATTTACGACATTTTAACTACGTTAGCACATCCTGCATTTCAAACACTCACTAGATACAAAAGTGCATACATTATCCAAATGAGCAAATTACATTAGATGAAACTTATGGTTGTGAAATAAAAACAGTACAAGAAAGATTATGTTCTTCAGAAGTAATCACAAAAGGCTCCAGATGATTCAAATGTAGCATTTTGTACTTCTCTAAACACCTTCTGTATAGGGATCTAACAGTTCTTTCAAAATAATTGTGGCCTGAAGCCTTAAGAGACCCAGGGATCATCTGACCTTAAATAAACTGAAGACCTTTAACACAAAACCAACTCTTCAAACCCCTTTATGAAGTGAGACAATTAGCACTGATGTTTCATAAAAACCATGAGAAAATTAACCATGTGCAGTTGAAATGCCATTCTGCCTATCTGAAAAGTTTGCCATTAAACTGCCAAAGCAGGGATCTGTTCACGGCACTAATGGTAAGCCTCCAAGACGCTTTCCAGGGTATCGCTTTGGACTAGGGACGCGAAAGTGTAACCGCATACACGTTTAACCGATGAGCCTGGGCTCCTCGGGTAATATTCACAGTTACATACAGTCTCCCGGTATGCATAGGGAGCTGGCTTGAAAGCCAAGTCTCCCAGCACACTAGTTCCCAAGGGAGCCGACTGCTGCTTCGGATTCTGTGGTTACACGGCTACTTAATTCGTGTGCATTTTAACATCGCTACTTTGACATACATCCCACCGAAAGACTGAAAATTAATATCATGCCTCTAACACCGTGCAAGTTTTCAGTAGCTATTCAAAGGAAATATCTACCAGTCACAACTTCACATCATTCCTATGAATCCTCTGGATGCCTCCCATCCAAATACACACACATGGGATTAGGCAGTTTGAGAAATTCAACCCAGCCACAACAGAAGGTAGAATATCTGCATGTTGGCACTTTGCTAAGAGGCTCTTCTATGATTATATGTATTGGTAACAGACAAAAATAAAAGCTCCATTGCAAATCTGGTTCCCCAGTGTATATAGGCTAATAGAGGACTTTACAGCAGGCAACCTGGCTGTCCAAGCACTATTTCACTGTCTGCTTAACTCACTGCATTAATTACCTTTCATGCCTAGCTTTGGGGTTGTGTTTTAAAACTGTTACTAAGATGGTATGCCAACATCGCCAGAGATGAAGTACAATGCATCTTTTTAAACATAAGACAGATGAGAAGCGTTTCAAGTTGCCCAAACTCAAAGGCATCTCTCTGGTTCAGCAAACTGCTCCCAGAAACACAGCAGCTTGGGTACTTGAGTCTGGCTCAAACCAATAAAAAGCTTTACAGAAAACAAAGACTTTTCTTTAAAGCACCTGCCACTGAACAGAGTTCAGTATGTCAGCTCTGCAATAGGTAATTGGTAATTTGATTGAGCTAGTGAGTTAACTATTTAGTATTAAAAAGGCTTTTCTCCTCAAAGAGAGGAAGGCAAACCAATAATGATTTTTAGAAAAAACTAGGTAACACTGCATTAATGCACTGATCTCACCCACTTGAGCTCTGGGCTCATTTAATTTGGTCACCAACACTGTTAATTGAGTGACTTAACTTTACCAAACCACTACATGCAGCAAACAGCAGCATCTGCTTGAGAAATCTATAACTAGAATAGTAATAGGTACTGAAGGTCTGATTCAGTGGTTCAAAACCTGTGAGGCAAACACAGCTGCAACCTTGAAGGTCTGATTCAGTGGTTCAAAACCTGTGAGGCAAACAGCACACAGCTGCAACCCATGTGACATCTTCAGGGCCATACAGTAGTACTGGATGCAGCCCACAATGGTAAACAGGTTGAGAACCACTGAGTTAGAGGTAGTATTAGCAAAGCTATCCGCAGAGGAAATGTACGCAGGATCTGTCCTAGTTACATTCCACTCTGCCAGCGTCATTCATTCCTCAGTTTCAAAAACTCCATTAAAAATCATATCAAAAAGGTTTCAAAATGAGCATGGGGATAAATCAGGAAATGTGCTCTAAAGTTATTATTTTGCAACATACTGGCTTGCAGCCAGATATTAGAAAAGGGAAAAGAAACTCATGGCAGGTGCTGCAGCCATCTGGGCGGAAGTAGGCTCCATTACATAGAGACTTGTTAGTTTCGAACTTCTACTCATGCTAGTTTCCTTTGCTGTTTCCAATATTTGTCTCCATCAGTAGAAGGACAACCCTTCTAAGCATAGACTTATCAGACAGTTTTTACATGCGCTGCTATGGATCCATCGCATCCTACTCCCTGGAGTCAAAATTTGGTTTTAACGCCATTGACAGTGGGTGTTCTATGTGAGGACAGGCACGTTGGGAGAGCAGTATAAAAGCTCGGAGACTATCAGTAAAGGTGCAGTGAGTCAAGACTCAGGTGTACTACAGTCAAGTGGGGCTGCTCTATCAGTTAGGCCATAGATAGGAGGATTAGTCTCATTTTTAGGAGTACTAAATCCACACACAAACATTTTACAAAAGAAACACGTCTCTAGAAAGCTTCCAACATTCAGCCAGCTGAGCAAGCTCAGGAGCTGAACATTCAAACAGATCGATTGCGACATTATTTTGTGCCATGAAAGGTCTGAAGGATATAAATATTTTATGTGGTTTAAGCATTAGTCCAACAAAAACCTGTAAGTCACTTTGTTTTCATTTTGATTATGCTCTTCAATGGATCACTGAACAAGGATTTCCATCGATTGTAGGTGGTTTTACAGAGAGCAGTTCTTATCTGATCATTTCTTTTCTCTAAACAGCTACCCTCATTTATATTATCGCTCTTCCCATCACCGCCACCACCTTTAAAGCAAGTCAGGCTTGTCAGTCATTGGGACTACTCATCTTGGCCTAGAACCAGTAAAAATAATTCCAGAGCTGTACTATACTCCATTTCTGTTGAAACGTACGTACATCTAATAATCCTATAGCCCAGTGGAAGCATCTTCTGTAGAGCTAAAAAGGGCCAGTCTCATCAGGGCTAATTTTCACAGCAGTGGGCCTTAAAAAATAAATAAATAAATGGTTCAACTAGGTGAACAGAGCCCATCTTCTCTATAAGATGTTACTAGTCTGGGACTAAATTAGCAGGGAACCTCGTGGCAGAAAATAAAGAGCATATGAACTAAATGTAATGCCCAGCATCTTAAAGCCATGCTTACAGAGGTCTCTAAATCAAATTTATAAAAGTCTGATGAACTTCATACCAATTGTCGTCTCATCTTTGTAAAACGCACCAAAGTCTTCAGACTATGGCCTCCTGTACTGTTTTGTTTGGAAAGGATATGGATTTGTATCAGCTTCTTTGATACAGAATTCCAGCCACCTGGCAATGGACAACTTTGATACCTTGGCTTCGTTCTATTACAGAATACTAGAGGAAGACAGACAAGTGATTTCCCAAAACATTTAATCCTTCTGAAGTTAAAAGTTCCTTGCATCTCCACAACGTACCATAATTTTTCCTTCAGTAAACAGGGTTACAGAATGGAAGAAGTTCATTTTGAAAGTAAGTCCCTAGTTGGAATAAAATGTGCATTAAAGATGTCACTGACATTCAGTCACATGACTAGCCACAGGAAAACCTTGTTCTTTCAGGGAAGAGACACTGGGTAGTGAAGGCAGAGAACTGAAGGGAAGCAATATCCCAGAGAAGATAAATCTTGAGAGGTAGAAGCGGGTGTTGGGCCGGCCACAGAAAAGGAAAAAGAAGGATGCCTGTCTCGGGCCCCAATGAAGTCTCCCACTCCTGGATATAAGACCAGAAAATACAATCATAACCCCACTCCTGGATATAAGACCAGAAAATAAAATCATAAATACGGAGCTCAGGAAAAGGAGTAACAATTATTGCACATGCATTAGAAAACTTATTTGGTCTGAACATGTGCTTTCCAGTATCTCATTGAAAAGCAGCTCATACTTACTGCAATGTAAACCACAGCTCCAAGGCAAACCTCAGATTCCTGCAAACAGTCTGAAACAAATGATCCTGCCACCAACGTTTTATGAAGCAGATTTCAGATCTCTTCCTCTCAGATGAGTCTTTGGAGATTGCTTGGGTTCTTCTGACCAAGACAGACTGAGGCCGTTGATGTCTTGAATATCTTGGGTGTGGAACCTTTTGCTCTCTCTATTGCAGAAAAGCTTAGTTCCCCCAAAGAATTTGAATCCGACATTTACTGGGAAAACACCAATCATTTGAGGTCATAATCTCTTATGTCGTGTTATGAAGCCTTTGAACAAGAACAAAGGAATGCAGAGCTTATTGGTTTAAAAAAATAGCACATCTTAGCGGTCTTGCTGCTGATTGAAATCAGGAGGTTCCAGCCAGATGTGAGGGCAGTTGATGAATCTGGAACACTCAACCAGCACAATTTACCTCTCGCAGCAGAGGTGTGGTTTCTCCCCATCCCCATATACACTGAATTCCCAAGAAGGAGCTTTCCTTCTTTATTAATTTGTGGAGCGGGAGGAAGACTAAAGCCACGAATGAGTGATCTTTTAAAACAAACAGCAGAACACTTGAAGGTGGAAGGAGACAAGCATCCTACAGGTCAAAAAAAAATGTTTAGTTTCTCTTCCTTTTCTATTAAAAAATATCCCGTTGAGCACTGGTAAGGGAAAAGGGCTTTGGCAGCCCTTGGATAGACCTAGGCACAGAAGTAATTGCAATGCTTCTTCAAATTCAGCTCGGAAAAAGGATAGGGGAAGATAACCCCCACAGTGAATACATTCACTATTGCCTTTGCTTAGAGCCACGTTTCTCAGACAGAGTCCTGACCCACCAGGGGGGTCACGAGCAACCTAGAGGGAGGTTGCAGTATCACCCTGGCTTAGAGAGAAAGCAGAAGAATGGGAGATGAAAGTTACACCACTGACCACTCAAATCAAAGGTT